AGTTTACGATTTCATTTGCAAATTTTTTTGACCTTAAGACTATATCTTACTATATACTGTTTTCAAAAATATTTGAATTACTTCTTCTGCTTGGTAGTGTAAGCATTTTGAGTATACAAATAGGCCTATTTTTCTTGTTTGTTTTCAATTTTCAATTTCCCTTTTTTCATTGTTTTTTGTTTGCTTCTATTTTTTTGACAGTGTAAAGCATGTGCCTCAGAACTGTATATAGAGGTATACTCACCCTTATCCTTTTCACACTGTTCTCATCTACTCTTTTTATAAATGTAACCATTTTCATCATTTTCTGGTTTACTTTCTTTTTCTTTGAAAAGAATATATTTTCCTTTTTCCAGAAATGATAAATTACTATATATACTTTTTTGCAGCTTGCTTTTTTTTTAAGCAGTTTATCCTAGAAATCATTTGTTATTAGCTGATAGAACTCTCCCCCTCACGCCCACAGGTATATAGAACTCCTTTGTGTGGATGTTCCTTAATTTAGTTAACCTATTTCCTATGGATATGTATTTGGCTTGTTTCTGGTTTTGCTATTTCAATAATGCTAATATAAAGAATCTTGTGCACATGGTGTTTGAATCTTGGAACTGGATAATTCCTGAAAGTGGGATGGTTGGGTAAGAGAGTAAAATGTGTATGCTATTACAATAGCCACAGTCCTCTTTTTACGGGTTGTCTATTTTGCATACCCATCAGCAGTGTTTTACAAATGTCTGTTTATGAGAATTCCTTCATTAACATCAAATATTGTAAACTTCTACATGATGAGGGTTTTTTTTTTAAATTTTTTTTGGAAGCTAACATTCTTTTTTTAACTTAAATCCATGTTAGTCAACATATAGCATAATAATGGTTTAAGGAATAGAATTTAGTGATTCATCACTTACATATAACACCCAACAAATGCCCTCCATAATCTCCACCACCCATTTAGCCCATCCTTCCACCTGAGTTGTTATTTTAGTAAATGGTATATTGTATCACCAGGATACCTATGGAAAATAGCTGACAAAAAGTAAGATAATGTAAGAAAGGTTTATTTACAGAAGTGTATGCAGGGGATTGGAGAATCATCACGGATAGCACAGGAACCAGCATCAGTCAATCTGTTTTCATTCCTAAGCTCAAAGGAACCAGGTAAAGGAAGGGTCATAGGAACCTAGGAGAGCAATTACTGTATAGCAGACTGCCTTTGGAGATTCAGTGACCTTTTGTCCAAGGACACAGCCAGCCTGAGAAGAGTCCACAGGGAAGGAGGCAGGAAAAGACATAACTCTTCCTTCCTTTGACTTCCAGCTGGAATTCAGTTAAAGGGTACAGGGAGTGCCTTGATGTAGTTTATGTAGGTCAGTTTTCCAAGGCACAAAGTAGTATGGAGAAGGGTGGAGAGAAGACTGAAGGGACAAGCAGAAGTTATCCAGAGCACGTATGCACATAAAGATATATAGACCTTTGAAATAACTATGTAAAGCAGAGGTTTGGAACCTCTGTCTTAATCCTTTTTGCAAGTAAGGCTACTGAGTGCCAGCAGCGTGTGGCTTATTTGTGTTTTCTTATGAATGCTACTTTCCACTCTGGGATTACTCTTAAAAAAATCTATCAGCTCTTATTCTCAGTTTCAATATTCCTCAAGAGTGCTTCTCAATGCACTTTCATAATACAAGGCCAAATAGTCTTTATCCTCAAATTTCTCTCGAAATAGCTACATAGCTCTTTTTTCTCCTTAAGAGACTAATATCCAAAGTAATTTTAGATACTTCAAACTCCATTCTGTTGCTAATATCTATAGGAAAGAAACACTGTCAAGCTTCTTTCTTTTGATTACTCTATATTAATTTTATTATTTTATGAATCCGTTTCGTTACAAACATTGTATTTGAAGCTGGGCATTGTCCGAGTCATAAAAAAGGATTTAGGGCCCCAATTACTTCTGAATGAGAGTGAATAGCAAGCCTTCTCAGTGAATCAAAACCATTGTATAGTTACATTTTTGTATTTTTGAGTATGTTTTTAACCAAGTGGATTCTATTGCATAACCCAAATGATTTAAATTTTGGTAGACTGCTAAATGATTCACCCTCTAATTTCACCTTTCGCCTGTATTACCAATAGCTTTTTGGTAAGTGCTGTATGTTTCCTCTTGTTTAATAATATATCCCCTTTCTAATACCAGGTAAACCCATTTTTATTTTCATTTTAAAATGTAATATACAATTCACTGCTTTTAGGATTTTTTATCAGAAGTCACATTTTCAGAGCTAAGCTGTAGTACTTATCCCACTTTTCCCTAATTTTATAGTTGCAGCAAAGTAGTGCTTAGACAACATAATTAACTTTATAGGCAAAATTTATTCTATTTCATTTTTTTTCTCTTCATAGTCTGCTTGAATTAATGAAGTTCACTTACGAAGTGTTTTTATTTTTAAATAGCATTTTTTATTTTTTGAACTCTAGAAATGACTATCTTTTAAAGTGCTTCAATTATAACTGTAAACCAAATTCCTTAATCCTCCTGTTGGGAGGAGTTATTTTTCAAATGATTTAATGAGAAGGCTTTTTAATATGTTATTGACCATTTCTTTCTTCAGTGAATATGGCATTTACATGTCTCTCCATTAACCAGAAATCTCAGTGGTCTTCTGATCATCATTTTGAAAATTGTAACTATTCTGTAGTAATGAAGATGTGGATGGTAGAGGAGATTGGATTCATAATTCATTCATTAATTTCCTCAGATAAGCCTTCTGTTTACTGTCCTCTTTGGTAGGACCTGAGGATTCAAAGATGAACAATGCACAGTTATTACCCACAGACAGTAACAAATGTAGTATAATAAGAGGAAAGATATAATCAGTATACTGTGGTAAGCATTATATTCAGTATATGCCTAAGGAAGGTGAGTGACACAGAGCATAAGTTACATTTCTTGGGATGGTGCCAAGGAAGACTTGTTAGAGGAGGAGACATGGTAAGTGTTTAATAGGTGCAAGTACACTAATAAGTAATATAACACTAATAAAAGATACAGTCCTACGCTCTAGGCTATAAAATTCTATTACTTAAAGAACTTGAAAATACAACTAATGTTATGAGCTTATAGAGTATATAGAGTGGATTGCCAAGTGAATGATACAGTAGCTATCATACTAGCATTTATTTAAATACTCTGCTACAGACTACAAATCTGATCACATGCAATCACTAACTCTGTTAGATATTGATATTAAGTCCGTTTTACAAATAAAGACACTGAAATTCACAGAGGCATAATAATCTCATGGAGGCCACACAACTAAAATGTGGTGGAACCAGAATACAAATTCAGACAGATCAACTTTAGAAATAGTGCTCTCAGTGGTTGTGTGTGTGTGTGTGTGTGTGTGTGTGTGTGTGTGTAAAGACCCATGGGAAAAAGAAAATCTTGCCTATTGAGAGCATTTAGAGAAGAGTTACAAATTAAGATAGATGATAGATATCATAAAGAATACTTCAGGCATGGATGGGTGTTGGCATAAATAAGTGTTCGCTAGCAACGTTTCCTTGAAGAACAGACCAGTATAATTGAGTAGTCAAGTCATGTAGTAGTATCAGGGAAGATCAGGTTAGAAACTGAGGAAAGGGTGGGAGCCATCTGTCATGTATACTGAAAATGAGTCTAAGTAGTATGTACTTCATCTGATAGCCATTGACATTATCGGAGCAGGAGACTAATGCCGGAGGCAGTGTAACATAATGATTAAGTCCTTAACTCCATCATTTTCCATCTTTGTGATGTTGAGTATATAAGTTCACTACACTTAGGCTTTTTTAATCTATAAAATGATGATGGTAATAATATCTACAGAGGTTAATTTGTAGACTCTGACATGTAGTAAAAATTGAACAAATGTTACTTATATATTATTGATGTGTTTTAGTAAATTTAATCTGAGAATAGTGTGCATTATAGCCTAGGCCTAAACCTTAGGCCATTAGGCCAATAGTTATAACAGATAAATAGAAAGGGACAGATACTAAGAGTATTTTAGATGGATTATATTTAAAAACTTTTGTAGCTTTGGATGGCTCAGTCAGTTAAGTGTCTGACTTCAGCTCAGGTCAGTTCTCGGTTTGAGTTTGAGCCCTGCATCAGGCTCTGTGCTGACAGCTCAGAGCCTGGAGCCTGCTTCAGATTCTGTGTGTGTGTGTGTGTGTGTGTGTGTGTGTGTGTGTGTGTGTGTGTTTTTCTCTCTGCCCCTCCCCTGCTCGAACTCTGGTTTTCTCTGTCAAAAATAAATAAACATTTTTTAAAAATGTGGCTTTAAAAATATATGGTACTTTATGTTGTTTCATAGTGTTCATGTGTTCATTGTTGTATCATTAGTTAATAGCTGACAACTTGAGTTTACCTTTATAATTTACAAAGCACTTTGACATGTTATTGAATTTGATTCTCAGAACTATCCTGTGAGTTATTATTTCCAGGCCAGAGAGGTTAAATAAGTCATTAAAGATGACACAAGTGAATGAAAATATCAGTGTAAAACTTGAATTTTCATATACCTATTCTAGTGTTTTCTCTTTTATATCATATTATTGCAAAAACTGGTACAGTGTAGCAGGCAACGGCATGAAAACTCTTATTAGTACTTTGGAGGAGTTAATATCTTTTCTTAGGTATCTATCTTAACACCAAGAGAAAAAGAAACAAAGTATGAAAGGAGACAGACAAATTAGAGTCTACTAGTTATTTAATTCATGTATATACCTGGTGATATTATTTGAATATAATCTCTGTTCAGTAATCAAAATATTAAGTGGTTATAATTTGCCGTTTAAAATAGCATTAGGACAAATGAAAATAAGCTCTTGCTTTTCAGCAACAAACTGTACTAGATATTTACTGTACTCTGACTGATTGTAAGTATTTTACGATAGAGCTATTTCTTAAGTGTTGTTAAATAGTATTGATCATGAAACTTTTTGAAATTTACCATCAGGCCAATGGTGGCAGAGTCTTCGTAGAAATATGCTTCGTGGTGTTCTGGGAAAAACCTTTCGACTTGTTGGCTATACTATTCAGTATGGTTGTATAGCTCATTGTGCTTTTGAATATGTTGGTGGTGTTGTCATGGTAAGTTTTTACATAAAAGAAATAATAATTTAAAATATATCCTTTGTTAAAAATTAAGGAAAATGCTTTTTCTTTATTTTAATTGAAGTTATTTAATGAATAAAAAGGGACTATTAAAATCTTTCTAAATTTGGAGTTGTAAGAGAATGTGTTGGAATTGGCATTATATAAAATTAATACCATTACTTCAAATAAGGGTCTATATTCTGTTTCTGACAGTGGCCCTATTAATAATCTAATAATAATAATTTTTACCATTTATTGAATGCTACTTACTGTGTTCCAATGATGTTTGAGGTTTTATATTAACTCATTTAATCTTTTCTACTCTGTGAGATACTTATTAGACAGAAATCCATCATAGTTATGAAAAAAACTGAGGCTCAGAAAGCTTAAGTAACTTGCTCCAAGCTCCACAGTTAGTAAGTAGATTTGGAATTTCAGCAGATTCCCCACTTTTCAAAACTCCTGTTCTTAACCACTTGTGCTTAACTGTCATTAAAATAAATGATTCTGCCTTATGTCAATATTAAAATATTAAGACCACCCCCTGACCAACGCTTTTTCTTAATATTGCATCATAAATCTATCAACTGTGACTGTACTAATCTTCTATCCTATAAATGAAAGAACAAATTGAATGTCCAGTAAGTGGGTTTTGTTGGAACTTCAGTAGGAAGTTTAGAGTAAAAAGTTTTATCAATGCATACGTGAAGTCAATGGAGACTGCTGTATTTAGATATTTTAAGTGGCAATGATCATTTATTACAGTTTTCAGGTGTATATGAGGATTATTGTTTTGACTCATACTAATAGAAAGTCTTTCAAGTGCATCTCATTATGCCACTATTTTTCAGTAGAAAATACAGGTTGCAGCCTCATCAAATGAGTAAGCTATTTTCTTAGGAGAGACCTCAAGGCATGAACTTTTTGAGAATAATATGATACTATTTAATAAATTCCCATTATGGGCACTGGATATTTGATAATAGTATGAAAGCAAATAAATCATTTATTTATTCAACAAATATTTATTGACTATCAGCTTTATGCCAAAGCACTATTTTTGGCATTGGTTATATTAAGAATGTGAGTGATAAAGTCCCCGACCTCATGGAGCTTGTATTATACAGGATGGTCAAAATTTGGAAACATATTTTAATCATGTATTATAATGCATTCTCAGTCAGCCATTTTTATGATACTGATGTGCTGCCTACTGCGCTAAGGAGGCAGGTAGTCAGCCATTTTTAATATACATACCTGTATTTCCAGACTTGGTGACCATTCTGTAGAGTTGAACTTACCTGGAAGGTACCAACTTATGAATTATCCTCCAAGCTTGACGAACATTTGTTTGACTTTCTTTCTTGTGAATCATCCTCCAAGCTTGAAGAACATTTGTTCCATTTTCTTTCTTGTAAGCCTGTTCAGATGATTTATGTTATATGAAAAAGGGTTTCAATTCAAATTAAAAAAATACCTCTCTTTTCAGTGTTCTGGACCATCCATGGAGCCTACAATCCAAAATTCAGATATCGTCTTTGCAGAAAATCTTAGTCGACATTTTTATGGTATCCAAAGGTAAATTTCTATCATAGATATATTAAAGTTATAGTGAAAACATGCATTCACATTGTGTCTTTTCTGCAGTTTCTTAATTTTGTTTTTAAAAAACTTTTGTAAATAAATTAATGACCAGTTAAAATTTTAATTCAAATATTTTCTCTCAATTTGAGAAATTTAATAGTTTCTGTAAACATTCAGCCTTCTGGGTCACTGTGTCTCTTGCATTATTGGCCAAAATAGAATAGCAGCCCCTATTTTTATAATGTACATTCAAGCCCACTTTGCTTTTTTGAGGGGAGAAAGGACCCTGTAATGTTTTGAGTGAAGAACCTAGGGACTTGGGAACTACATTACATATACAAAGCAGTGATTGCTTTTTAAATTTTTAAAGTAGTCTTGAATTTCTTTTGATGACTATTTTATTTTTCATAGCTTATGATGAGCACTTGATGATTTTTAGACTCTAGTACTGTATATAGCTGGGAGCCAGAAATCTCTATTATGAGTCTCCTGGTTAATTAAGTTGAAAAACTCCTTGACAAATATTGTTTGCCTCTAAATTTTAAAAAATCCTATTCTGAGTGGTGTTTCCAGTCCCTATGATACTGTTTATTCTGTTTAACTACATATTATTCCTTATGAATGAATGTCAAGTATTAGTAATTTATTTTATTTTTTAATTTTTATTTTTGAGAAAGAGAGACAGAGCATAAGTGGGGAGGGGTAGAAAGAGAGGGAGACACAAAATCACAAGCAGACTTCTGGCTCTGAGCTGTCATCATAGAGCCCGATATGGAGCTCGGACTCATAAACCATAAGATCATGACCTGAGCCAAAGTTGGATGCTCAACTGACTGAGCCACCCAGCTGCCCCCAGTAATTTAATGTATTTTCTAAAGGGCACATCTCTGATTCCCTAAAATTTTGGGTTCATTAGTTTTTCATAATTATTAAAAAATAATAGCAGTTTTTCATCTCCATAAACTGCAAATTTGACTCATTTGAGTTGGTATTTAGCTTATGGCATAAGTAAATTTAATCACTCCTCTTTCATCATTGGCTTTTTCTATAGTCTGTTGCACATTACTGAGTAGTGTAAAAGTATTCTTTACATTTACTGATCTTTTACCATTTTAGATTCTGTAGCTAACTTGAAGTTATCTCTTGGTCAAGCTCTATAGTCTCAGTTTGGTGCCCAGGTTAAGTTCTCCTTCATATCTTTTACTCACATAGCGTCTAGGTTAAATTCTTCTTCATATCTTTTACTCATGACTTCAAGATACCAAATTGATAGATATGGGCTTATAAAATATGACTTGCATAACAGTTGTGTTCTAGCTTTCTTTTCTTTCTGTCTTTGGATTAATTAGAGACCTAGCATCACTGTAGCATGAAGATAAGCTGCTGTTCTCCATGCTAATGAGATGATTTTACTTTTAGTCCTTGAGGATCTTTAACAAGGAGCTGAACTTGTTGGCTAATTAGATTTTGAATGAATAGCTCAATATTATCCTTTTTTTTTTTTTAATAGATACTCTTTCCATTCAGACGGGTAATACAAATAACTACATTCAGTAAGTTAATTAAGATTCTTTGAAGGTTTCATTTTGTATTCTGTTCATTCAAGGGGTCCATTAGGTTAAAGGACAGCTCAAAATCTGGCATTTATATGAGATATACCAAATAACTTTTACAACCAAGGGAGTCCGTTGGTAACTTCAATTTTAGAAACATTTTTCTCCTCAGTATTCTTTTTCTTTTATCTGCAGCATAGAACTCAGATTTTAGGGGAATCTCTGACACTTGGCAAGAGATCCTTCAGCTAGCTGCCTGTTTCTAAAGCTAGGATAGCTATCCATTTAGGCAAAATAAAAGTCTGCATAACTAGTGTTTAAAGCACATGAATCTCTTCTCAGTTAAATGCACAGAACATCATATTTATAACAGTTACAGTCTCTTATTACTATTTATTCTTTCACCAAATAATTAAAGAGTACTTAACTTATAGATATGCAGTATATTATAGAGAATGTTAAGGTGAGTAAGATATTGGTCCTTTTCAAAAGCTACAGTTTAGTAGGTTAATAAGGATGTTTATAACTATAAATGAGAAAGGAAAATTTAAACCTTAGTTCTATTAACTTCCTTTAAAAGCCCTATTTGAAAGAGTTGAGAATCCAAAGATAAATTATTTTCATCTAAGCTCTATACATATATCTAGTTAGACCATCAAAAGTATAATCTGCATTAATATTGTCTTCTGTAAAAACACCTTGACTGAATTAAGACTTTTATGTTGCCATTCAAGGGCAGAATTTAAGGGTCATATTGATTATATTTTTAAAAATGTAAACTGAATAAAACACCCACAGAAAACATTTTATTCCCTAAAGCTCATCAAAAGCAACTTCATTTAGTATGTTACAATCTTTGCAAACTTGTTCATCTGAAAGTTCCATTGGCATGGTTCCAGTTGGTTGAAGAGACTAGTTTATCCCATTTCAGAGAAAGGGCAGCCTTATATTACCTGAAAGTTATAGAATTGAATGTTTTATTTATTTATTTATTTATTTATTTAGAGAGGTGAGAGAGTGCATGGTGAGAAGAGGGGCAAAGAGAAAGAGAAAGAATCTTAAGCAGATTCCACATTCAGGGTGGGCCCCTACCCAGGGCTCGATCTCATGACCCTGAGATTATGACCTGAGCCGAAATCACGAGTTGGATGCTCCACCAACTGAGCCACCTAGGCACCTCTAGAATGTAGTAGTTTAATAGCTTTCAACTCTAAAAAATTATTGTTCCATTGAATACTATTACTGTAAAATTTCTTTTTTTTTTTTTTTAATATTTTTATTTATTTCTAGAAGAGAGAGAGAGAGACAGCGTGAGCAGGGGAGGTTCAGAGAGAGAGGGAGTCACAGACTGAAACAGGCTCCAGGCTCTGAGCTGGCAGTCAGCACAGAGCCCGACGCGGGGCTCGAACCCACGAACCGCGAGATCATGACCCAAGCGAAAGTCGGACGCTTAACCGACTAAGCCACCCAGGCGCCCCTATTACTGTAAAATTTCTGATGAAGGTGTCTTTTATTACCTTCCATAAGAATCCTTCTTGTATGTTCATTCCTCTTTGATTTAGTTAAGACAATTTTGTCTTATCTCCCAAACTAAACTTTATTTTATTAGTTAATGATTCCAGTGAAATTAATCAGAATTTCATTTTTGATTTGGCTACCAAAAACTTTGGAACTCATATTAATATTTATGTATAGCAATAACTAGGTTTCTGATTTGACTATCATCTTCTCTTTATGGCTTTTGACATTTTTATATATGCACCTTTTATTATAAGTAACATCAAATTATTTCTGCAGCTATGTACAAATAATAAGTAAATATATTAAATCCTTTCAAATATGTGTGTTAGTCAACAGAATTCACTTATACTCATTTTTTGCAGGAAGAGCATTGTGTTTTGTTTGGTTGGGGCATTAGTCCTATTTTGTCTCCTTCCTCTGTTTTGTCTCCTTCATTTCTGCTTTTGGAGATCATACTTTTCTAACACATGGATATTGTTGTTACTTCTTCCATGAATCGTGCCTTCCATATATAATTTTACCCATATTGGTAATGTATGTTTGATATGACAATTTATTTTTTGTAGTATATGTTGGGCACTTTTAGCATGTTATTTGGTTGTATTTTTTGATATTGTTCCTCAAAATTAAGTCTTTTTGACTATCCTGTAAATTACCCAGGTTGTTTATATATTGTAATTCCTCAGTTCTTTGAGCTCTAGGGAAATATTTATACTATTTTTATGTTTTTATGTACTCTAGAGTCGATCAGTACTAACGGCTGGGCAGTAAAATTTACTTAATTTCTTGGTTCTTACATGGAACTGCTTTTACATAGTTCTGGTTCTAAAAATTTGGTACAGTGCAAGAAGGTAATTCTTATGGAATTGCCAGAAATTTTTAAATCATCTAATAGCATTTCCACTACTCTTGTTGTATTGTGACCCATAAAACAATCACAAAGCTGGTAAATGTATGAGAGGGTCAATATGTGAGAGGATAAAAGGGTGTTGGCTTTGTTTAAGCTATAAAAGTATTATAGTAGTGCCAACCATGTGTTTATGCTTAATAAATAACACTGACCTTTCTTTGACTTTTTTCCCCTCAGAGGTGACATTGTGATTGCAAAAAGCCCAAGTGATCCAAAATCAAACATTTGTAAAAGAGTAATTGGTTTGGAAGGAGACAAAATCCTCACCAATAGTCCATCAGATTTCTTTAAAAGCCATAGTTATGTAAGTAACATTTTAATTATGTTATTCATTGATTAGCATTAACTAAACACACTGACAAAAGAAAATAATTTTAATTCATATTTTGAATATGTTAAAATGCTGCATTCAGTAGAATTTAAATTTGTTTGTATCAAGGGGAGCCTGGATAGCTCAGTCGGTTGAGATTCTGACTTCTTATCAGGTCGCGATCTTGTGGTTCATGGTCTCAAGCCCTGCGTTGGGCTCTCTGCTGTCAGCAAAGAGCCCACTTCAGTTCCTCTGTATCCCTCTCTCTCTCTGCCCCTCCCCCACTCATACGGTCTCAAAAATAAACATTTAAAAAAAATATATGTATGAAGAACAACTTGGCCATTATATTTTACACATTTTAGTTCTCTTTAAAAGCCTACATAAATATATCAGTAATAAATGTTGCAGGCATGATTCACCAAGGATGTCAAAATTTTGGGCAAAAGCTTGAGAAAAGTAATTTATTTGCACCGTCTCAAAGTATCTCCTTCAAGATATTTATTACAAAGGGACAAATAGTAGCTCATAGAGGAGAAACTGGAAGGCACCACCTTAATTGAGAAATCAAGGTTAACTTCACCAATAAAAAGACATATCAACATAATGTAGCCCCTGAAGTGAAGCACTGAGAAGGGCGCATCACTTTTGTGGTATTTTTACAAATGAAAGTGTAACCTCTGTCGAATCATGAGAAAACATCAGACAAACCCTGAGTGTCATTCTGCAGCATAACTTACTAATACTCATAAAAAATGTCAAAGTCATGAAAGACAAGAATTAGAGATTGGAGAAGACACAGGAGACATGCCAGCTAAATTGCATCTGAGATCCTGGCTTAGAAAATTTTTCCACTGATTTATTAGTGGCAAATCTGGTAAAATCAGAGTCTGTAGTTTAGTCTTTTTAAATCGATTTAAATTTTTTGAATATGAAGTATATATGCCGTACTCTAGTTAACCTGATTATCCAGTTAGAAAAAGAGAGCAAGAGCAGCAGAATGGAAGAGTGAGGAGCAGATGTAATGTTAGCTCCTCTCACCAATCACACAGCTGCTGTAACAGAGCTTATGGCAGGGGAGGGTGGCCTTTTCTTTACTGAGCATGTGCTTTTCTTTAATAATTATAACTTAATTTTTTACTTTTTAAAAAAGTTCTCAGTGTCACCCTCAAATTATTGATGTAGCTGTTACATCTGTTGACAAACTTTCCTGATAACTATCTTCATCCCCAATATAAACAAATAATTAAGAGTTAAATTGTTTTGATCCTTGTGTATTTATTTTTAACTATAATAGGCTTTGATTGCCTTGTAAGTTTGATCAGTAGATTATTAAGTCTATTATTTATGTACCACCCATAATGCACTATGATTCAGCAGTGCAAATGTTTTTGATGTTTATTACCACAGTGCTAAACATACTAGTAATTGTTAGCTGATAGTGATAATAATGTTGAAGATGATAGTGTATTATCAGGTAACCTATTTTTCTATGACCTTTATCATGGAGTCTGCATCCTTTTATACTTCATTTAAAAATGTCAGAATTTTGCATAATGTTTCATCTTCATGTGGTATTAACATTTCTTTCATGAGACATTCTAGTCACATTTAAGTTGTTTTAGCAATAAGCATATACTTGAGACCCTAAATAATTTTGCCAGTAGATAGAAGAACAAAACATATAAATGATGGCATCTACTATCTGGATACTTAAACATCACACAATTATTGGTGTTTTCTTTTTAAGAATTATTAGAGGAAGAATTTCAGGGGATTAGATCTTTGCTAAGTAATCTGAGCAAATAATCAGAGGACTGTAAGATGAAAATTTTTTGAATATTTTACTTAAGGAAATCATCAAATTTTTATGTACTATGAATTGATAAATTAGATGACACTGCCATATTCTAGGTATATTCTGTTCACTTTGGTTTTACTTTTTTTAGTGACAGACATAATTGTAATACTATTTGCTAACACGTATTGTGTACTTCATCTGTACCAGATACTGTTGAAACTCTTTACAAGGCTTAATTTATTTAATCATCAAAACAGCAACCCAATAAGATAAGTAGTAGTAGTATTTGATAGATGAGAAAACTGGACAACAGGGAGGTTAAATAGATTGCCCAGTTTCAAACAGTGAGAGAAACAGTTGGAATTCAAACACAAGTAGCCTGGCTTCATCCAAAATTTGTACTCCTTACCATGCTACTACTACTTCTCCCAAAATATCTTCTACTGATGATTATTATACTCTTATCCAGGTATCCTTACCTTAAATGTATTTGTCTTCATTATTTTTAAAAAAGAAAAGGAACTATTTCTGATCAGGGACACTATTTGTTCTAAAAGAGAAGCCACTGATATTTTGAAGGCTTCCCTGCCTCCGCCAGTTTTTCTAGGCTGGGCTTTTCAAGCAATTAGAATTGTCTAGTTATTATAAAATCACTTTAGCAAATGTGTTCCATTAATCAAGGTGATTTATAACAAAAATTCATCCAAGTTTGGAGTACTCTGAAGAGATATCCAAACCTTTGCAGGATCTCCCCCTCTAGAGTGTTCCTTTTTCAGCTATCTCAGCCGCACACTGGTGCTGTATTTTATGAGATGGGTTTCTTTCCCTTACCTATGTATCCTTTTAGAAAAATTGTTGTTGTTTATGATGAAGACATTACTATTCAGATCTTGATTGGGTTGCCTGGTAAAGATGATGAATATTAAATGTTGTGAATTCCAGGCCCAAAAAAAAAATTATTCTCCTATGTAGGTGCTTCAGAAAGCAAAACACCAAAATTGTCATTTGGAACCTAGAACTTAGAGTTTAGCATATGAAAGAAATAGCATTGTTCCTAAGTTGGCAAAAAAGAATAATAACAGATCATTGGTTAAGTGAAGTGGAACCATTTTATTCATTTCAGAGTTCTAAAAGTCCATGTGGCACCAACACTTAACAAACCATGATTTATTTTTTTACATTAAGCATTTGGAAACTAAGCAGTCCCTATCAGGTGCTTTTGGAGTGGGTTTTGCTCAGTTCGATGATATTGAGGCCAATAATGCTTTCCTTGGGTTATTGGCTGAGCATTGGGTACTAGAATATGAGCTTAATTTGTGACTTTCACAAGAAACATATTATACTCAGCTCAAACATCTTGAATAACTTGCCTTTCTATACTGCAGGAATTCCTGAGTTTGCAGTTAAAAGCCACTAATTTGCCAAAAATATTTAATTGGAAGTAGAAGCATTACGCAAATGCTGCTACCATTGGGGTACAAGACAAATTCATGTCTTGTTTTCTTGGATTAACTTCTGAAGTGCTCTCTGCTTTTACCTTTCCCATTGTCTTGCCTCCCTACCCCATCATTGATTATTCTCTACACAGATGCTGAAATGATGCTTTTTATTAATGGTCCTTTTTAAGTGTAATGTTAGTCTTTTGTACAAAGACCCAAGTGACTTCACAGTTCACTCATAAGAAAAGCCTAGGCCTTATAATATCCTGAAGACCCTTTATATTCTTCCTGCTGCTTGTACTTGCGGTTAAAGCTTTATTCAAACACAGGCACTCTTATTTGTTTACATATTGTTTGTGGCTGCTTTCACTGCAAGAGCAGAGTTGAGTAGTTGTAACAGAGATGATATGGCCTGCAACGTTTAGGCTGTTTACTCTCTGCCCTTTACAGAAAAAATTTGCTGACGCTTCAGCAAAGTTCTTCATGGCAAGGATTTGTTTTGACCCTGATTTCCCAGCACCTAAACTTTGATTTAACATCTGGTAGGTACTTTAAAAATACTTGAAGGATGGACAAATGTATATATGTGTAGGGTCCAAGCATGTTTTCTTCTACTTTCTGTTCTACTCCTCAATTTCTTCTACTAGTTTCTACTGCAGACTTGCTCCTGAGTGAGTGCACGATGTTACTGGTTTTCAGTAAGGCAGGTGTTCCTTTAGTTCACTACACTGTATAATACTGTGAAACTGGCAATCTGTGGTTCTTGAAGTCTTCATAGATGTTTTGAAAGTTAAGCTCCTTCCACAGTAGGGCTACCACACCACATTCCATAATTCCAGATGGAAGTTGTAGAAAATATTAGGATGTCTCTGTTACTTTGAAGCAGGACAGCAAAGTGCCAGTTAAATGTTTCTTTCCCCAAGCGACTTCCATTTAGAATCAGTGATATTTTTCAGCTCTTTTAATAAGCAAACTAAAAAGTCATCCGGCTCTGAATTGACTTATCAGTTTGGAATATTCTGACTTCAGTCTAGACTAAATCTTCTAAAAGAATGGTAGATGAGGTACCCTGGATAAACCCCAGCATTGCCCCAGAAATGCTGTGGTAGTTTTGTTAAGGTGACAGCTAAGTTGCCCTAGCAACATGCAGTGCCTACTCATTAGGTTGTATGCTCACAAGAATTTTTTCTCCATTTCAATAGAAATTCATGTGCCTTTTGCACATATAGGCCACTATACGGGTATTTTATTCTTTTGATCCTTTTATTGGTTGGCAAATTAACCATGGGTAAAGTTGTTACCTGTAAGTAGTAAATTGTTCCTTTAAATGTAAACTCCTGCTTTGCAGTGACTGTTCAGTGTAAAATGAATCATTTTTAAATCTTTCATATAATTAAAAATTTATTTATTAGCTTCTCAACCATAGCAGCCACTCTGTATTAAGTGGACATATTAATAGAACTATGATTATGGAGACTTCCATATATTCCTGTAATTAGAGACTCACAATCTTTTATTATTAAAGGAAAAATAATTATACTTATTAGAAAAATTATGTTTTTACTTTATTATTAACCCATCAAAATATAAGGCCATTTAAAACTTTCTGGTTCCTGCTACCACAGATTCCAGTGTTATACACAAAAGGTGAAATGTTCACAAAACAACAGTCTGCTAGGTGACTAAGGAATGTAGTATTTCTTACCTTTTAAAAATAATTACATATATGTTAATAACATCATTGTTATGGAGAG